TGACTTTTCGGTACTGTTTTCTGTTCCCCCTTTTACTGATCCCCACTTTTCTCTGATCATTTCCCTCTTCTGCTTGAGGTGCTGTTCTTTTTCCAGTGTCTTAAGGTGAAAGGGCAGGTTACTGATCAGGAGTCTTTTTCCCTTTTCATAGCTGTCAACAGCCATACGTTTCCTCCACGCACGGCTTCACCTGCAGCCCATAAGGTTGGTCATTGCATCTTTATTTTCATTAATTTCATTTTGAATGTCTCTCTTGATTTCTTCCTTGGCCCATTGGCTGTTTCTTTCTTTCTGTTTTTACTTTTTATTGTGGTTTGAGTGAAAGGTTACAGAGCAGATTAACTTTCCGTCCAACAATCCGTACACATTTTGTTTCCTGACTTTGGTTGCAGTCCCTTCAGTGTAACAGCTCTCTTTCCACCTCCTCCCTGGGTTCCTCATTTCCATCCAGCCCTCTGTCCTGCCCCTTCCTGCCCCCTGAGCTTTGTTTTGGAGCAAACGCTGCCCTTTGGTCTCCTGTGGATGGTCGTACAGAGGAGCAGTCCTGCCTGGGGTTACGCACTTCATGGGCCCATCTGTCATTTGGCTGAGAGTTGATCCCGGGGAGTGGATTCAGCTCCAATCCCATAGGGGGTCTAAGGGCCACAGTCTGCGGTTCCGCCAGTCACTATCAGACCTGTCAGTCTGCTCTTTCCATGATTGTGAATTTTGTTCCACGTTGTTTTCTCCCTCTCTGTCCAGGACCTTCTATTGAGAGCCTGATCAGAGGAGTAGGCAGTGTAGCTGGGCACCATCTAGTTCTTCTGGCCCCAGGCAGACTAGCAGGGGCCTTGGTCCCACTGGATATTTCAGAGCGTGCTGTTTAATTGACACATAGTTGTGACTTTCCTCTTTCTTTCTTTCTGTTACTCATTGTCTCCAGCCCTGTTTTTCATGCTGAACTCTCATCTGTAGCTCTGTGTCAGGCAGAGCTCCTCCACATGCCCTGTGATGGAATTTGTAAAAGGACAGGGGTTGGATGGTCATGGAAGCTTTTGATAATTTGTATGGAGTTGGTTTCTTCTTTTGGTGCTTTTTTCTTTCCTCCTCCTTCTTTTTTTCTCCTATTAAGTTCATGCATCATCCTTCAGTATCTGAGGTTGCTCAGAATCCCTGGCCCACAGGTGACACCTTTATGACCCTGGAATTTCGGAGAAAGTCTCCCCTCTCATTCCAATTGGAGTCTGAGGGGACTGGGTACATGCATGCTCTGCCATTTGGGGCTGGAAGCTTCAGTTTAATTACCTCCTTTTTCCATCTTCAATACTGAGCTCAGAGCTCTGGTGGCCCAGCGGTTAAGGCATTTGGCTGCTAACCAAAAGGTTGGTGGTTTGAACCCACCAGCTGCCCTGTGGGAGAAAGATGAAGCAGTTTGCTTCCATAAAGATTGGCAGCCTTGAAAACCCTCTGGGGCAGTTCTGCTGTGTCCTCTGGGGGCACTGTGAGCTGGAATCCACTTGGTGGCAGTGGGTTTGGTTTGGGGAATACTGAGTTCCTAAGTGCCTGGAATAGTGCCTGGCAAACAGTAGGTGCTGACCAAACACGGGTTCAGTATTGAGTAAGTGAAGGCTAAGTAGTTGGAGCATTAAGAGGCACTTGTCAGTGGAGAGGGGGTCTTTGTCCTCAGTGTCTTCTTCCTTGTGG